CAAATTGTTGGCCAAAACATCCATAAATTCGAATGTATTTAAATAATCTTGTCTTGTGACGTTGTTCATACCTTTAATACATATGGCCAAATCTTTTGTCATTTTACCACTTTCAATTGTTTCAATGCATACCTCTTCGAGTTTATTAGCAAAATTAGCAAGAGGTTGATTGTTGTCTAATTTTGCTCTGTGAAGTAAACCTCTTGACCATGCAAATATCGATGCTATCGGGTTTGTAGAAGTTTCTTTTCCCTGTTGATGAAATCTATAATGTCTTGTTACAGTTCCATGGGCTGCTTCAGCCTCGACAGTTTTCCCATCGGGGCAAATCAACACGGAAGTCATCATACCCAACGATCCATAACCTTGAGCTACTGAATCTGACTGAACGTCACCATCGTAGTTTTTACATGCCCAAACGAAACCTCCTTCAGATTTCATAGCATAAGCGACCATATCATCGATTAATCTGTGTTCATACCAAATTCCAGATTCTTCAAATTTTTTCTTGTATTCATTATCGTATATGTCTTGGAAAATATCTTTAAATCTCCCATCGTACTTTTTAAGTATTGTGTTTTTAGTACTCAAATACAATGGATATTTTCTATCTAGGGCATATTTAAATGATGAATGTGCAAAATCAATTATCGATTCGTCAGTATTGTACATTCCTAAAGCAACACCGGGGCCTTTGAACTCATTTACAGTATGCTTAATGACTTTACCATCAGATCCTGTAAAAACTAATTCTAATTTTCCTGGGCCATTGATTAAAAAATCCGTTGCTTTATATTGATCGGCATGAGCGTGACGACCAATAATAATTGGTTTATTCCATCCAGAAACAAGTCTCGGAATATTTTTGCAAATAATGGCTTCTCTAAAAACTGTTCCACCCAATATATTTCTGATGGTTCCGTTGGGAGATTTCCACATTTGTTTCAATTTAAATTCTTCGACTCTTTTTTCATCCGGTGTTATGGTTGCACATTTAATTCCAACGTTATATTTTTTTATGGCTTCGGCACATTCAACAGTTACCTTATCATCCGTTTTGTCTCTGTGTTCGATTCCCAAATCGTAAGTGTGTAATTCAATGTCCAAAAACGGTAGAATAAGCTTTTCCTTAATTAAATCCCATAATATCCTCGTCATTTCATCTCCGAGGATATCTACAACGGGTCCAGCTTTAATTTTCGTTGACATTTTTTCTAAATTTTTTTTTTAACACAACGTGATTAAATTATTTAACAATGATTCAGCGAAAAAATCGTAGTTCGCGCAAACAACTAAACCCGCTTCGAGTTTTTTCTACGAACAAAATGTAAATAATATTTATAAATTTCGCTAATCAGTGAAATTGATGACGTACTGAAGTTCGGATTTGTTCGTGTAATCACGTGACTTACAAACTCATTCCCCATTGGAGTCAACGTTAAGTGTTAAAGTGAACGAAGTTTTTAACAAAATTTTATTTTTCTCATATCAAATATAAATTTTTTCGTTTAAATGAATATAAGTATAAAGGAAAATTAAGTAAACGAAAAAGAAAAATAAACCTCACCATGAATAAATCATCAGCTCTCGTCGGCATTGTATCCGGACTATTTGGTGCTGGCTCTGTCTATATCCTTAAATCTAAAGACACGATTTCTAACGAAGCTGTGTCAAAAAGTTTAGAGGCAAATTCAAATATTTTAAATCCTAAAATACGTTTGTCCGAAAATAAGTTAAAAAATTATGAAACTGCCGTAAAAAAATCAAAAGAACTCGTTAAGAGATTTAAAGACGAAATCGGAGTACCTGGATTGGTCATTGGAGTAAGCGTTGATGGTAATACAGTATGGGAAGAAGGTAATAAAAAAAAATCAAATTACCTCTGAATTTAAAATTTTCTTCATTTTTTAACATGTTTTTTCTTTGCAGGATTCGGATTTGCTAATTTAGAAACAAGAACACCCTGCAATGTCAACACTGCCATGAGAATAGCTAGCATAAGCAAACCCATAACGATGACATTATTAGCGAAATTATACGAAGAAAAAAAGGTAGATTTAGACAGGTCGGTTCATGATTATGTACCTTATTTTCCAAAAAAAAAAATCGATGACGAAGAGGTAGATATAACAATAAGACAATTAGCCAGTCACACAGCAGGCGTAAGACATTATAAAAAAAAAGGAGAAAAAAAAGATAAGGGTAATCGTGATTCCGGAAAGGAATTCTATTATAAACAGGAAGTAAATACAATTGAAAAATCTGTAGAAATGTTTAAGGATGATGAACTTTTATTTAAACCAGGTACGATAAGATCAAACCATTTTATTCGTGAAAGAACACCTAAAAATCCAACCATGTTTCCTTGATGCTGTCGTCAAATCCCTTTCACCGAATAATTCTTGTTAATATTTTACAAACATTTGAATTTTGTAATAACTTAATATTTCACATTACAGGTACATCATTTGAATACACAACTCATGGATACACATTACTAAGTGCAGTTATTGAAAATGTGGGTAAAAAACCATTTACTTTTCAAATAGAAGAATTTTTTAAAAGTTTAACATTAAAAAATACATATTTAGATAGGATACCAAAAATTATTTATGAAAGATCAAGGTAAATATCAATTAATAATATCACAAATAAATAAATTGTAAAAAAAATTCAAATTTAATTTCGGTTTGTTTTCGGCACAGTTACTATGACAAAAATGAAAATGGTCGTTTAGTAAATGCAAAATTAGCCGACACTTCGTATAAATGGGCAGGAGGAGGTTTTGTATCAACTGTTGGAGATTTATTAAAATTTGGTAATGTCATGCTTTATAGTTATCAACAACGAGAATCAGATAAACCTGGATATTTAAAATCTGAAACAGTTAAAGAAATGTGGACGCCAGTTGAAAACACAATTATGAAATGGGGAAAAAATTCAGGGTAAATAATAATATACAAAATTATGACAAACTGCGACAACAACTTTTTATTCCAAATATTTTTTTAAATAAAAAAAAAAATTATTATCACTTTTGTTGTAGTTATGGTCTGGGATGGACAGTTGTTCCAGAGATGGATGAAATAGGGGGTGTGAATGAAAATCAACAATTTTATGTTGGTCATTCTGGAGGAGCAGTTGGAGCGTCGAGCGTTCTCATTATTGTACCTGATAAAGGAACAAACACAAATGAAAATATAATGAGAACAATACCAAAAGGTATAGTTGTAGCCATTTTAGTCAATTTAGAAAATGTATCTTGTAGAAATTTGGGAAAAAACGTTGCAGATGAATTTAACAAACTAATGTAAATAAATATACTTGATCAGAATCGAATAAATCGAAATTTCTTAGTCTTTATCGAGAAAAATTCATTTGGGAAAATGTTAGCCATTGAAAATTTTTTTTTTTTTCCAATTTAGAAAAATTATTATATATAAAATTATAAACATAAATAAAATGTTTGAGTCAATGCAAAATTAAAAACCTTAACAATAAATTTTATAGTAGAAAAAAAAAAATATAAATATTAACTATATGTGTCATTTCCAGACACACATATTTTTGGTATAAAATTAATTGTTAAGGAATGTTTTTTGTATTGATTTATTTTAATTGTTTATAATTAAAAATTTAAAAAAAAAAAATTAAAAAAAAAAACTCAAAGCTTTCCAGTAAAAAAAAAAAAAAAAAAAAAAAAACAATAAAACATGGAAAACCAAATTTTTTCCCCATTAGATAAGCCTTTTATTACTTTTTTTTTTTTTTTAACACCTTAACATCACAATTTTCTTAATTATAAATAACATGTAAAAGGCTAACCTTTAAGGCTTTTTGATTATTTTTTATAATTAATTCAGTTACTTCTTAATGTTGTTTTTTCCTAAATGAACATCCTAAAACAAACAAAAAAACAATAATTATTATTATTATTATTAATTAGTCGTATAAAACATTTGTAATATTTATTATAATTTTGTAAGGTAAACGGACTACCAACTGTATTATCATAATTAATACAGTCAGTGAAAAGACACCTTTTTTTTTTTAGGCTCAGACTAAAACCTTAAATTACTATTTAGTAAATAACTAAGTGTATTGACTAAGCCATAATAACTTAAAATCAATTAAATTACCTTCTGTCAGCCTGGCTCGTCCTCCAGTAGGTTGACATAAAATTGTTGAACATCCAGCACAAACTACTACACTCTGGGCATGGCTAAAAACTGTTGTGATTTTATAGCAACCTGAAAATAGTCAAGTAATAATAATCGATTATTTTTTTCCCCCTTGACCTCATTATTAAAAATATAAAATTAAAATTTAATTTAACTAACTAAAATAATTCAATTAATTTTACATGTTGTTAGAATGTCATATACAAGCACTTTTACGATAAAAAAAAATTATAAATACAGTATTAAGGTATATCTTAATAATAATAATAAAACTGTAATTAATAAGAGAAAAAGGAAAATTACCTGGACATTTTACATCCATAAAATATGAATTAGGATGTTGAACTAATCTTTTAAGTTTATGTTTCCTTTTTTCCTCAGCAGGAGTAGGGTGGAGTAAATCTTTAGCAAGCTATAAAACAATAATTAAAAACAATTAATAACAAATATACATTTTAAAATTAAAAAGGCAATATTATAACTAAAATAAAAATCTATTATATGGTTTATTATTTAGCCACATGTAAAAATTACACATATCGTTGCAAAACTTCTATAAACGATCGTGTAACTTTTCACATAAAATTATTCGAACGTGTAAAAAAATATTCGTTAAACATCAAAATCTATTTAAAATAATCGAGTATGTGAATTTAGGATTAGATAATATCAAAAGTAATGACTATAACTCGTAGAACATACTAATTCGCATATACCAAAGATAAACAACGTGGATGTCGCAGTTAAAACAAAATCACATGTCTCAATATAAATGCCTTATTTAAAATGTTTGACCCGAAATTAAATGGTTTAATAATAATTGTTAGATAAAAAAATTATTATTTTCATGTTATTGTTTCACATATTTAACTTAATATTTATTTTAAATTAGATTTACTTACAGGCATTATGGCAAAGCACGTATGCCGGAAAAGAAATAGTTCGGGGTCTACAATACTAATATCAGGAGTTACTCTTTAATTCTAATGACACGACGTTTTTATTACGACAAGATAATTTAAATTTCCTAAATGAACAAGTTTTTTATCAGTTATTATTTAGTTAGGAGGACAAGATGTCTTATTCTTGTTTACCGTACTATGCAAGAGATGTCGTAATAAAAGGATTTGGCAGAGGATCTAAAGAATTAGGAGTTCCTACTGGTAACCATTTTTTTTTTATTTTTTCTTTAATATTAAAAATAAAGTTGACAAACTTTTATTAAATCATCATTAATAAAGTTTGCCCCATAATTAGTGTTTGTAATATTTTTTTTTTTCATTTATTTCAGCCAATTTACCTTCGCAAACTGTGAATAAATTACCGCCCGAATTAGATACAGGTGTTTATTTTGGTTGGGCAAAAGTTGAAAATAGTCCAGTGTATAAAATGGTTATGAGCATAGGTTGGAATCCATTTTATAAAAATAAAGAAAAATCAATGGAAATTCATATATTGCATTTATTCGAAAATGATTTTTACGGTTGTATGTTAAGTGTTGCAATTGTCGGTTTTATAAGACCCGAAATGGATTTTGATAATGTTGAAAGCCTTATAGAAACCATAAGAAATGATATAGAAATAGCTGAGAAAGAGTTAGATAAACCAAATTTTATCCAATATAAAAATAATCCATTTTTTCTTTCAGACAATGTCATGTAAATTATTAATGTCATAATAATTATTAGGATTTTACTTTAATCTTTTAAAAAACTTTAAAATGCTTGATAAGAGTATTAAAATATTGACTCACTGCTAAGCTTATTTATGATTTCATTTCTGATTAGTGAACACATTTCATTACGTTATAAATATTTTTACCTAAATTTAGCTTTTTTTTTTTTTTTTAAAACATATTTTATTTGTTTCAATTTATTTTGTTTGTATTTTACCTTGTTAGGTTATTGTGGCAGGTTCCACTAATAATTTTGTTAAATTTTTATTTAATTAAAATGTTTAATTATCAAAATTGAATAATTTTTTATTTTAAATTTATTCACCAAGTAATTATTTGTATCTTGTGATTTTAAAAATTATTTAATTAGTATTCAGATAGAAGTCAATTCGATAATTTAATCATAAAATTTTGCTTTAAAGGCTCATTAATTGTTTTTTTTTTTTTTATTAGTCGATTATCATTGAGTTATATCAAATATTTATTATTAATTATTATAAATTTTATTATTTATTTATTTATTTATTATTTTGATAAAAATAGTTATTCACTGATGATAACCAAATATAAAAACAAAGTAAAATAATTAACTATAAAAATATCTTTTGTAATATAATGATAAAATTCTAAATTTATGATACATCACAGATAAAATTAATTAATATAAATTTTGTGACATTATTGTTATCCCTTCGAATAAGCTTTAATTATTATAAATAAGTTAATAATGTATTGACATATATTTAGAAATAAAAAAAATTTTATTAAGAAAATTATTGGGAAAGGTTAATTTTTTTATTAATGTAATTAAGGTCAAAATTATAAAAAAGAATATTTTTTTTTTAAAAAGTACTTTTTGAATTTAAACAAAAAAAATTAATGAAATAATATTGTATAAAAAAAAAAAAAAAAAAGTTTAACAGTTAATGTATTTTTTTACACGAACATCAAATGTGTTACGTAAGACAGTGATTTTTTTTTAAGCAATCGAGAACAATATCAAATATTTTTTACGATACATAAAATTTAATTTAATAATAAGAAAATTAACTTGCTAAGAAACAAAAAGTTTAAACAAAAGTTTATGAAAAATTTTTAAATTTCAGTTGGGTTAAAAATTTTGAAAAGTAAAAAAAGTTTTCGATGAAGAATTTTGTACATTGATTTTGACTTGTGACAAAATGTCGACAAAATTCTCCGCCTTTTAAAACACGGTTTTATTCAATTTATATAAAATGTAATAAATTTCAGTAGGAAAATATTTTTATTTTTTTTTTCTAATGCAAGTTCATTCAGTTAAATGCAGAAAATGCAGGTTTTTATTATTTTTACACCCAGAAAATACGTTAAATAATGCTCATGCTATTTCTATAAGCCAACAAAACATAAATAATGTTTTGTGTTCAACAGTACAAGAAGATAACTTATGGTTTCTTCAAGAATCAAATCTTCCTTCCTGGATTTCTGATTTAGTTGATAAAGTATGATTTCGAACGTGATTTTATATATATATATGTACATGATGAAAATAATATAATTTTTAATAATTGAGTATATTTTTAGGCTAATTGGACCAAAGGAAAAGTTCATTGTCCAAATTGTCAGAGTAGGTTGGGTTCATTCGATTTCATTTCTGGTAATAAATGTCAATGTGGAAACAATTTACTACCTCCAGTTCATATTGTAAAATGCAAAGTAGATTGCCATGTTAAAAATTAATAATAATTTATAAATGTACTTTCATCTTTGCTCAAAAGATATGTTGCAGATTAACAATTTTAAAAATTCATTAATGATAAACTTTTTTAATTCCGAAATGTTGTCAATATGTTATCGGTTAATAACGAATAGATTAATTTTTTTATTATAATAACTTTTTTATTGTTTAAAGTAATTAATTTAATTACTAAATTTTATTTGTCATAATAAATTTTATGTGACTTCATTATATTTTATTGCAAACATTTTAGATAAATAATGAAACTAATAATAATAATCGAAAATTTTATGAGCGATGAATTTTTTTTTTAGCATTTAAATTCAAGTAGGTTATAACTGGTAGATAAAGGAATTATGAAAAAATTTACAATTCTTTCACAGTGTTATTAATTTATAATTAAATGTTTATGAATCCATAGTTTATAATCTGGATGCATTACATAGTTTTTACTAAAACAACACAATTTGCATTTATACTTTAAAAAATTTGCTTTTTTCTTTTTTTTATCAATTTTGCTTTTGTACACGTTTTTACAGTTTAAAGAAACACCATCTTTTTTATTGTCAATAATATTTTGTCTCATTTTTTTTTTAATGTCTAATTTTGTTGAAGATTTTAGTGCTCTTTTTTTTTTTTTCTTTGGATGTGGTTTAAGTTGAACATTAAGGGCATTAGAATTTGAGGTTAAGTTGCTGTGACAGACAGAACACATTGTTCTTTTTATATCTGGATGAAGTTTTTCTACCATTTTGTTCGATATTTCTTTTAACACTTTACCATAGTAATTACCGAGTCTAGAATTATTTTTATGTGCAGACATTAAATGAGCAGCCTGGTATAAAAAATTCATTCTAAAGAATGAATTGCTTGGAGTTTCACCTCTTTTTCCCTTTTCCTTCATTTCAAAAATAATTATGTGATTGCTGAAGGTAAAATACTGGGATTTTCAATTTTTCTGAAATAAAAAGCATTACTCAAAAATATTGCATGTTATAAAAGTAGTCTTTAAAATTTACATCATTTATATATACATTAAATAAAAAAAATTTTTTTTTCAATAGTACATTTAAAATTAAACTGCATTAACACATATTACTTGAAAAATTATTAATTTACCAATATTTCGTACGAAAACAAACTCCTCAGAGTCATCTGTAGTCGAATATTTCAAACTCTACGTTTAGGTATACCTACTAAATGATACAAATGGCGTCGGTTACGTGAGTAGGATATGTGTACACTTTTTTTTTTTTTTGAAGTTAATCTAATTGTAACAAAAAAAAACGAAAGTTTAAATTAAAAGCCACGTAATGTAGTAGGTTTTTTTTTGTTATTTCAATACAGAAACGTCTTTCAGTGTAGTTATAACACGACAATAACATAACATGTTGTTAACATTTGTTGATTATGTTTATTAAAATTTAAAAATATGAATAAGTTTGTGACAAATAAAGCGTAACAAAATATAAGGGATTCTCCAGGGAAATAAATTAATTTCCCAATTACAGTAGTAAATGTGTTTGGTTCAATAATAGTTTTATATTTTATCGAAATGCATCCTGTTAGAAGAAGAAAAAAGAGGTCAAATTACGGAATCAAAACAGTGGAAATTGCTCGTGGTAAAAATGGATTCGGTTTTACAATTTCAGGACAGCAACCATGCATTTTGAGTTGTATTGTCAGTGGTAGTCCTGCTGAAAGAGCTGGATTAAGACCCGGAGATTATTTGGTAGCCGTAAATGGACAGAGTGTTAGCAAGCTACTTCATGATGATGTTGTAAGACTTATTGGTTGTTTAAATGGAGTGCTTAAATTACAAATAGCTGAAAATTATTATTCTGATAGCTCCGATGAAGATAATATTGCCTCAGTTAGAGCTAAACCTAAGTTTGTTCATAAACCTAGAAATGTAAATGCCAATCATCGCTCAAATGGAATTCAACCTGGTCGTTCTTCGAAAACCTGCAAAGATAACAGACTGATAGGAGAATCTTCTTCTCATTCCACCATCCATACTTCTTGGGATCTACCAACAATTTCTGTACCTAGAGTTTCAAATGCTCAAAATCCTAGTACTTCAAAAGAAGAACTTAGCTTTGTGATTGGTTACTTAGGAACAATTGAAATGCCTAAACAAATTCAACCTGGCTGCCGTCCCCAAATTGTAAGGGGTTGCATAAAAAGATTAAGAACAGAAAAAAGATCACATAGTTGGGTGTTAATGAAAGTTCATGCTGATGGAGTTACAGTTGCTGGAAACGGAGGCAAAGTATTAGCCGAGTATCCTGTAAATAAAATCACATTTTGTGGACCAAGTTCTGAAGAAGATAAAAAGTATTTCGGTTTGGTTACAATGGCTTCTGGTGACGGTAATGAGGTGTTACCATCAAGTTCTTGCCATGTATTTGCAGTTCAATCAAATCTTTTTGAACATTCAAAACATTTTAGCAAGGCTTCTTCTTTTAAAATAACTTGCACATCGGGACCTCTATCTAGGGGATGTTTTGAATTTCCCCCTACATCCGAGCCAATTTTAAATGCAATCAAATCATTCTGCTTAACTAAAGACGAAAATAACGCAAATTTAGTTCAAAATGAGATGCTTTTGGCTAATTCACCCCAACCGTCTCATTCTGGATCAACTGCGGCAAGTAGTAATAGCGATTCAGGAATCGGTTTTAGAGACGACGGTGGCAATCAATCAGACAGAATTGTTATGGTTGACGTTGAAAATCAAAGACTGCACATCCAGCAACTGTACAGCAACTCAAAGTGTTTAGGAAATACGAGTGCCTTAGATATACAACTCCAACCTTCGAACGAAAGTCTGGAAACGTCTCAAAATCTGCATCACACATTTTCTAATATAAATGCTTTTTGCCGTTTGCCAAAGTTATCGGATCAAGCTTATGAATCTTGTTCGACAGATCATCGTTTGACGGTGCGAGCCATTCCTGATTCAAAAGTTCCTACTAGCAACAGAAGCAGATCTCCTTTAATTTCATCTTCCTCCTCCTCCTCCTCCTCCTCAGAAGATGAAGAAAATACTTTAACTAAACATTCCCATTTGAAAAATTTATCGGCAAAAGTTAAATCTGGAAGAAGTTCTTCAAAAAAGTACTTGAAAGAAGACCCGTCGAAATCATTGTCTCTATCCGGCATATGGTACGAAAAATCAATTTTCTATCAATTAGGTTTATTACCCAATCAATCGACTCACGGTGGAAAAGTCAAAGTAGTACCTGGATCAAATTATAAAGCCACGTCCAGATCTTCGGATTGTCTCGATAATTCGGGTTGTGGCTTTCAGAAAGCGGAACCCGATGATGCGAATGGAAAAATGAATTCCAGATCGACGGATAATTTAATGCAAATAAGTAACAGTTATGACTACGTAAAAAGTTACAAACTGACTCCTCAAGTTAAAGGTGTTTCTAGTTTTCCATATTCAAAAGTAAATAGTCCCCTTTCGATTTCTTACGGCGAAGGCAACATCGTGCAATTGAACAGAAGATCAGTTAAAGTTAAATCAAATAACGAATCCTCATCGTTGTGTTGTGACGAATCAAACGACCCGACATTATCATCGTACGCCTCAAATGAAAATTCGAATGGGAAAGAATTCGCCGACGGGAAAAGCCAAATCGGAAAAAGCGACTCGAAAAAAAATCTATTCAAATCAGCCGACGACATGAGCATATGCAGTTATAAAAGCAACGATGCACTTCTCTTATACAAATTAAGTCCGAAGGTTTTCGGTTTGAAAAGACCGTTGATAACTCAAAGTCTCGAGGATTTGAAAGATTCCGACGCGTTAAAAAATTCAACGGATAAAGTTTTTGACAGTTCATCGAAACTTCATCAATGGGGGAGCCTCCAAGATTTGAGAAATTTAATGCCGAAAAACTTTGACGGATCTCTCATGTTGAAAAATTCCGTAAGTAACATTTCATATTAAAATATTAAATATTTTACCAACTTTTAAAAAAAAAAAAAAAAAAAAAAAGATGATGTTTAACTAATGACACGATGCAGACAATACTTTTAAAATTTTTTTTTAACGGTCACCGTGACGTAACTGAGTTGACGTAATTTTTTCATTTTGTTTGTTTTTAACGGGGAAAAAAATTTAATTTAATATCCGATATTTATAAAACGAAACGAAACGGTTTATCATACAACCTCATAAGTATTTAAAAATTATTTAAATTAATGGAGAGAAACACAAAAAAAAAAAAAAAAAAAAAAAATTAAATTCGGCATCTTTTGTTATTGTTCGTATATTATTGTCTTTGATGCCGTGTCATGGATTAGTCACACATGTATTCATTTTTTTTTTTTTTTTTTTTTTTTTTTTTTGTGTTTAAGTCTTAAACACAAGCTTAAAAAGTTAATTAACCGAGGGAATGGAATTTTTACGAAAAACAAAAAAAAAAAAAATCCATTTCCTCAGCTTTACGTTTTGTTTTGTTTTTTGAAAGTTGACATATTGAAATCATTGACGACGACGACGACGACACGTATTGACGTTTTTCCTTTAAATTTTTTATCAGTTTGCAAACCTTTTTATTATTTTCCTTCGGGAAAATATCGGGGCGGGGGGGGGAAAAGAATGAATTAAACCATGTGAGATAACAGACGAATTATTGTAAATAAATTTAATACGAGTTTGTTATATAAAACTTTGCACCTGTCGCGGGAAATTTATTCGATCGAATGAAAAAAATTTATATTTTTACATGATTTTAACGACGATTTTTTTTTTTTTTTTTTTTTTTTTTAATAATCATTTACTACTACTTTTGTTTTTGTTATGGAAATAAATTTTAGGCTTTTATCCTCCTAGCCTCTGCATTTGGAATTAAAGTAATTTTAAACGTGGAGTTAAAAGAATTAATTTAAAAGAGAGAGAGAGAAAAAAGGGAGTAGGGAATACGAAAAATATCCTGAATTTAAATGAATTCATTTGAGTTTAGTCACCGCCGACTTGTAACGCGCGCGTTCTCACCGAATTCTCGAATCTCGTTAGTACGCGCGCGATTTCAGTTAACGTTAATGTCGGCCGTGTTGCGCATCTTATTTATAAATTTCACACAAAGTTTTATTTGTTTTTTTATAAAAAGTGATGATATTTTCACAGTGAATACATATTATTATTATTATTATTATTATTATTATTATTAATATTAATATTTTAAAGTTATTATATTTGAAGGGGAGGGGGAGGGGGGGAAATTTAAATTTAAATCCATTCGTTTTTATAATTGTGATTTAAGTAGGAGACCGTTTACTTAATTGTTCTGACATTGTCGATCGAATGTCGTAGATTACAAAAATGATCAAACGGATTTAAAACGAATTTTAAAATGTTTAATAAATGTGACGGTATAAAAACTCACAAATAAATAACATCATCATCGTCGTCACATTAGCTTATTTCAAAAGGTCACTTAAAAATTCGTTTTCCCGTCGTGAAAGTGATCTCAATTATTCGAATCGGAAGACGTTTTTTTTTTTTTTTTGTTCGAAGTTTCCAGAAATCAATGCCAAGAGGTTTTTTTTTTAAATTTTAAACTGTCACATCACTAAATTCGATTCACTTTAAATATTTAACGTCAATTGGGTTATTATGTTCCACACTCTCTCTCTCTCTCTCTCTCTCTCTCTCTCTCTCTCTCTCGTTGAGTTTAGATTACCAACGTAGAATTTAATGGGATTTTTTTTTTTCGTTCTCAAACGATAACAAAAATGAAGGAAACGTCGTGAAAGTTGTTACGGGGTTATATTTATGAAAATTTTAAAAAGTATTGCGGTGATGGTGGCAAAAATCAATCAACCGTAAAAATTTATATAATAAAAAATATAAAACGATGCACTGCTACTGCTACTAATACTAATTTTTTTTTTTTTTTATTTGTTACACGAACTTGGTTAGAAAAAAAAAGCAACCATACTTGAAAATGTTGAATTAATAAAGCCATTTACAATCATAAGTATGGAGGGCAAGAAAAAGTCGAAAAAGTATTGACTCGCGCCATGTATTATTATTATTATTATTGTGCGTAATAAAAAAAAAACGCATAACGCACGCATGTTCTCGATATATGTGAAATTGAAAATTTTTTTATTTCGAGTGAAATTTTCAATTGTTTATTCAATTATTAACCCGATTCTCAGGATTTGATTTGGTAACACTTTCCTTTCGTTATCGGATTTTTTTTTTTTTTTGTTCACGAATATAAAAAAATTTCAATTAAATATAATAAATTTTATAAAAAATTAATTAAATAATATATATATAAATAGTTTTGGTAAAACGAATATAATGACGTTAAATAAATTGAAATTTATTTTAAAAAAAAATAATAATAATAACTTGGACGTTGTGGGCATTCATTCATAATTATTTACATTTTGATATTAATTTAATGACGTCACACTCTTTCGATGGATTTTTTATTGATTATTTAAATAAAAATGATTCTTAGATTTATTTATTTATTTATTATTTAAGTAAAAGATATAATAAAAAAAGGAATAATACTTAAACAAAAAAAAAAAAAACTTTCATTTGATGAATGAATTACATTCAAAATATTCTTAATATAAAATGGAGTAAGGAGTTTAAATGGATTAATTAATTATTTGTTAATTAATATAAAAAAAAAGAAAATTTAAAATTTTACTTACAAATTTATGAGTGTTGTGTGTCTTTTTTTAAATAATATTCTTAATATGATTCAAATAAACGCGTAGGAAGAAATTAAAAAAAAAAAAAAAAAAAAAATTTGTTATAAATTGTGACTAATAATTAGTATTGAATATATATTTGTGTTGGTTGTATTTGGATAAATAATGGTATCGAAAAAAATAGAAAATCAAAGAAGTCGATCCCTAAGCTATTACGAAAGTAAAAATTATTATTTTAAGGTGAAATTTGGAAAAAAAATTATAATTTGATTTGTTTTTAATTAATTTTTTATCACAAGTTGTTTTTTTTCTGTTCAAAATTAGGAATTTGGTGAAAAGAATGGAAATGGAGATGGAAATCGAGTCGTCGGTTGGGCTCAATCATTTGAAAAACTTTTGGAAGATCCTTGTGGACTCAACGCTTTTGCTGTAAGTTGGAAAACAAACAAAATTTTCCCTTAACGAGGGGTGAGAAAAAAAAATTTAAAAAATTAATTAAAAAAAAAAAATTATTTTAGGAATTTTTAAAAAAAGAATTCAGTCAAGAGAACATAACGTTTTGGATTTCTTGCGAAAAATACAAATGTTTGGAAGATGATGACGTTCTTAGGAAAAAACTCGCTGGAGAAATATTCGAAACTCATTTGGGACCGGGAGCCACGGAACCTGTCAACATAGATGCACACGCACATCAATACACTCAAGACAAACTTTTGGAGGCTCCCATCGATTTATTCGTACCCGCACAAAAGCAAATATTCAATTTGATGAAATTCGACAGTTATCCGAGATTTATTAAATCCGATTTGTACAAGGAATGCCTTTTGAAAGATTTATCCAACGAAGACCTCCCATATTCGAACAATTTGAACCTTCCGCCTAATATCCCTTCGTCGAATATCGAAAACACTCCGAGTCGGGGTAAATTGAAAAAATCGAGGAGCGATGCCGAAGACTGCAGTAGAAAATCATTGCTTCCGTGGCATAAGAAAAATCGTTCGAAATCGAAAGATAGAGGAGAATCAGAGTATAAATTATCCACCCTGGAACAAAAGGGAGGAAACGAGGATGTTTTTTCCGTTAGAAGCGAATTAACTAGCAGTCGTTCGAGTTTAGCGTCTTGGGATTTAGCATTGAGGGGATCTTTCAGCAGACAGGTAACGTCGGGTCGTTACATCCGGTGTATTATTATTAATCGGATAATAGAAATTTAAATAATTTTTTTTTTTTATCATAACAGCGGATAACGTCTTTTTTTTTTTAGTCCATAACGTCCGGAGAAGCTTCCGAAAGGGAAAATTGTCAATTATGCCGTGTTATTCTTTCTGATGGTGCCACGACGGTTGTCAGGGTTCGTCCAAAGGAAACAATTAGAGAACTCATACACAGGCTGCTGGAAAAACGTGGATTAAATTTTAGTTCGTTCGAACTTTTTACGACGGGATCTTCGAAACCTTTGGCGTTAGACGAAGAAGCGACAACTCTTAGCAACAAGGAAGTTCGTGTCGATCAACGTGTCGTTTTCAAATTAGATTTACCCAATCGTAGAACCGTTAGTGTCAAAGCTAAAATAACAAAAACTTTGGGTCAAGTTTTAAAATCCGTTTTGCAAAAATATTCTTATAAATTGGATGCCGTTACGATTTGCTCGGTAATTATTAATACTCGAAATACTCGTCGATCGATTTTTTTGATTTTGAAAAGTTCTTTTCTTTTCTTTTCTTTTCGTTTACAGATGAGTGAAAACGAGGTTGTCGAATTAAATTTACCCGTAACGGCTGTCGACGGTAGGCGTCTGACCGTTTTGACTCGAAGCTCGGAATGTTGGAAAGGAGAAAATCAAATTTGTCAAAATTCGAACGTTTTTTCAAATAAATCTTTCATCAAAGCCGCTCCCACTCTCGACGAAATCACAAACAAGGTTTTCGAAGAACTTCTTCAGGGAAAGTACGAAGACGTCGGAAAATCCGATCAGGGTTCGTTAAAATCCGAAGAATGGGGATCGGAACATTCTTCGGGAGTTTTTAGTAAATTTTTAAGGAGAGATTCGACTTTTCACGATAAGAATAATAAGAATAAAAATCGAGAGGGAACGAGTAGGCAAATATTGGAAGGAGCTACCAAACACGTGGAAGGAGTCGTGTCAATGGTGACGAGTAAACCTCCGTTGATAGGAAAATGGAAATCTGTAAATAAATTGACTGGAAAATCGGAAAGCGATGAGTTGTACGAAGGACTCAAAAGAGCTCAAAGAAATAGATTGGAAGATCAAAGAGGAACGGAAATCAATTTCGAACTCCCGGATTTTTTAAAGGTATTTGGTAGATGCTTGAATTTTTTAAAAGTCCCCCCAATCACAACGAACCTTTTTAATTTAAACACAATAATTTTAGGATAAGGAAAACGCTCCACAAAGCGGTAAAAAAATAAGAAAATTTAGAAAAGAAGATGGTACTACAACAACAACAACAACAACACCAACACCAAAATTTTACGAATCGGATTTATCACAATTAGAAAATCAACGTGAAAATTCTCAATTACATATAAAAAATAGTTTAAAAAATGATAAGGTAAAGAAGCGGAAATCCAGGCGGTTCAGTATAAAACAAAAAAAAACAAATTAAAATAAAAAAAAAAAAATTCATGGAGAATGTGTAAATATCATATATATATATATTGCTTATTATATACTTTCTGCTTTAATATATATAAATACTAATTTATTTTCTGCTTTTATCTAACAATTTATCAAATGCTTTCATCTCTCTCTCTCTCTCTCTTGTTTTTTGTATTTTACATTTTAATATATATATATATTAATATTAAGCATTATGTAAGTTACCATTAATTATAACCTAAATCATGGCGCTTAAGCATTAAAAATTCAACGCATTGCATTATTTAATAATCATAAATAAACGAATTTTTTTTATAAAAATAAGATGAGAATCATTTAAAAAAATAATTTTCGGACACGGCATTGTAAATATTTGAAATAAATAAGTTAATAACTTTATTAAGGGGGAAGACATTTTGTTTTGTTAAATGAATAATAATAATGGAATATTTTAACAGCACGATCATCAAACAGCATGCGGTCAATATTTTTTATTGAGCAAAACCATAAGGTGAAGACAACGGGCGGAGGGGAGAGGAGTAAGGGGGAGGAGGGAGGAAGGGGAAAGCAAATTTTCTTATTAACAAGTGCTTTTATTTTATTTTAATTATATATATTTTTTTTTAGCCTCACAGCAACAATTGGAAACAAGGAGAAATAATAGGAAAGTTAGATTTATCAACCACATCCGTTAGAAAATCGGATTACGCAGGAAGAACGATATCAAAGCCACTAACGTGTAAAACATATGAAACTCCCAAAACGACAACAATAAAAACGGAATTTACAGTTGATACCGTTAAAACAAATGACGTTATAACAAACGGATCGGATGTATCGAATAAAAAAAATTATGGAAAAAACGATCCTCCACCATTACCGCCAAAACCAAAATTTTTACCCACGAAATTATCATCGAAAATTAATTGCGGTAATAACAACAGCAGCAACAGCAACAACAGCAACGAAACCTCTTTGAGAATCCCTCAAGAAATAACAAATAGAAATACAAATTTTTTAAAACCGAGTGATATTAAACGTGAAAATGGTAAAATATTAAGAAATCGTAGAACAGTTTATTTAGATCAACCGAGTAGCAGTTTTGTATAGAATTCCTACCTGAAAGTTATGCTCAGACATTTTATTAAAGAAATAATGTATAAATTGTAAGTATATTAAATATATACATAAGATAAACCTTCATCATTTTTTATTAATAATTTTAATTTATTATAATTATTATTATTATTATTTAAAAAAAAAAATATATAAATTATTTACATGACTGTTTTCAGTTATTGTGCTGTCGTTTGTGGAACTTTTTGCATACTATCTTCTTCTGCATATGATTTATAATCGTCTTCATATAAAACCTCATCTTCGACATCTTCATCCATGTCTTCAATTTTTTCTACTATTGTCGTTTTAGGCATTGGTTCCCTTGATGGCATCCATTCTGGTATAATTTTAGCATGCAATCTCCATGTTCCATATTCGTTAACAATGTGTTTTTCAAAAACAACATATTCTAATACATCTTTTGCTATCGTTTCGCTACCATAAAATAATCTACCAAATCTATCATATATGGCTAACATCTGTTAATAACATTTAAAATGTGAATTGTTAGAAACGCCATCTTGTTTTTACATTTATTGCAACAATCAAACTGTACTCGCCTGTTTTGTATGAAATCGAACTGTGACTTGTCCGAATAAATTAGATTCTTGAATAACTGGAGCAACACTCATTTGAACTATTTTTGGAGGTTCTAAAGATTCTATAAATTTCCATCTTAGAGTTTTGTTTTTTATACCGCTCATCATTTCCATTATGGCCGATTCGGTTACATATTCCGAAAGTTCCTCCGGGTCATTTCTAAAAAGACGACAAAGAGTTTTAATTTTTCACAGGTATATTATCAAAAGTAAATGGAAATGATACTAACTTCATTAAAATCGTATGAGCTTTGACATAAATATCATGAGCTTCTTGAGGAAATACTTTTGTATTAAAATTTGAATCGTAATTGGTAATTTGCCTTTTGGCTAACATGTAATCTTTTTGTTCCTTGACTTTATCGACAATACCTTTGGCACTCTGAAAAACTTTGAATATCAGTAAAATTGAAAGTGTTTAACTATAAATTAACTATAAAATACAGGTACTACCTACCTTAGGTATGATTGAACTCTTACCATCCCCTGGTGGGGGTTCGTAAGGATTAACAATAGTTGATGTTGTGGTAATTGTCATTGGTCTACGTTTCCAAAAACGGGGTGGAAGAACTCCCAATTCTTTTAATCTCGTTCTCATTTTTTCACGTGAAGGTTTTTCTTGAAAATCGGGTAAATCGATAGGAATAAATTTTTTATTTCGCAACCATTTAAATTTTGGATTATAATGTTTTTTTCTTGACGATACCATCATTCCTAATATAATATTAGGAACCGTTGCAATCACAGGTTGCTTTGTAAAATTCTTTTTTTAAAAAAAAAATCACATAATTAATAGAAAATGCAGCATTAAGATAAATATTAATAAATGACAATAATAAAAATAAAATAAATACTAACGTAAAATGTTTTTTGTAAATAAAACATATTAATTATTTAAAGTTATGATCAAGAACAATATCCGGTTAATAATATTTAAATCAAGCGGTGGAACAGTTGAAAAGTCAATCCGCAACCTAAGTTTTTTTAAAAGCATATTTTTTTTTTTTTTTTTCTAAACAGTCTTATATAAAAGATTTAAAATATTTTTAGTTAAACAATTTTTTTTTTTTTTTTAATAGTTTTGCTCAAGGTTTAAAAAGTTCTGACACAGTAGGGGAAGGAAGCTTTTTACAGCGGAAGTTCCGTCACACGTTGCTCAATAATTCTCTTGAAATCACAGGCCTTGATAGAAAGGTCGTGCTATAAATTATTCGAGTTTACTGTAAGTTTGGCTGTTATTCTTTTGTAAATTCGCTTTTTCTAAATTTTTTTATTTGGGTATGATTTTTTACATATTTTTTTTTTTTACTATCATTATTTCATTATTTTATTTTCGAACGTACATAATTTATAAATTAAATGGTGCCGTTTTATTTTCACCATTTTCAAATGGAAATTTCTAAAAGTTACATATTATTGATGCATTCATTACGTTTTTCATTATTATTATTATTATTATTTAATATTTTTTTAAATTATATTTATTGGGGTGATTAAATATAATAAATTTATCGGTAAAATTTTTTTTTTTTTTTTTTATTTAGAGATGAATGACCCCATTTTAAAAAAAATTTGCATTAGTCGAAATTATTTTATGACTTCGAAGTTAAATTCGTGTTGGATTTTTTTTTCCCTACCCCCCATTTATGAAGGAAGATGGTTCATTTTTTTTTTTTTTTTTTTGGTTAATCATTTTAGAATTCGTTGATAGAATTCCTGTTAATTCTTGACGTTTTAAAATTTAATTTTAAAAAAAAAAAAAAAAAAAAAAGTTTAATAGTCATAGCCTGTAGTTCTTTGTTTCCGAGAGTTCTATAAATTAGAATGCATGGTGATGATTGTTTAACCTTTTATTTTATTTCTTAGAATTCAAAAAAAAAAAAAATTTTCTTATTTTTTTTATTTTTATTTGTCAGAAACATTACATTTGTTAAATTTTTTGTGTTTAATTTTTAAAATTAAAATTTTATAAAAAAATAATAATTTTTTTTTTTTCCCCCGTTAGGGTAGAAAAATTATAAACTTGTTTTTTTATTTAACTTTTGATTTTTTTTTTTTTTTTTTTTTTTGGAAATTGTAAGTATCTTTTTATGTTATTACATACACACACACACACATTTTTTTTTTTATTAAAAAATCTTTTTTTATTTGAATATTTTTTGAAAAAAAAAAAAAAAAAAATGTTTTAATTTAATAATATTGTGAAAGTTTTAACATTTAAAATGCCTGCTTGAAGAGAATGAGGTGATGATTCAGCAGGAATTTTAAACTTGTTTTGCAATATTACAGTTATTTTTGCAAATTTTTTTTTTGATTCATCGTTTTTTTTTTTTTTTTTCTATAATTGTTTTGCAATTTCATTTAAATAGTTTACAAAGCTAAGTGTGTGTGTGTTGTACAAGTGACATTAATGTGTGTATATAATAATAATAATTAATTGACATATTTTATATAAATTCTTTCGTTCTTTTCAATATCATTTATGTGATTATAAAATTTGCTATAATAAATTTTAACATTTTTTTATAATTGAAATAAATTTGTGTTAAAATTTGATATATTTTACTTATTTCAAGTAATAAAATTTTATTTTTGTTTTTGTAAATTACTAATAATTACGATAAAGTATTGAAATGTAATTAATGAAAATTTTTGTTTATTTTTATTCGAAAGGTTTCTCGTGTGTGCGAGTAACTAACGAGGGATAATTTTTTTTATTTTTAGCCAGTTGTATGAGTCAAAAAGCAGAAAAGCCAGTTCTATCAGGTCAGCGCATCAAGACCAGAAAAAGAGATGAGAGGGAAAAATATGACCCAACAGGTTTTCGTGATGCAGTTATACAAGGTCTTGACAAAGCTGGAAATGACTTAGAAGCTGTATCAAAATTTCTCGATACTGCCGGCTCCAAATTGGATTACCGCCGTTATGGAGAGGCTTTATTTGATATTCTTATAGCAGGAGGTCTTCTTGGTATGTTTTTATCAACCATTTTGTATATTTCAAACAAAAGTAATGTCGGGAAAAGTTTCAATCCGAATCATTTGTCGATTTCTTTTTTTTTTTTTAGTTCCGGGTGGCTCCATAGCCACTGACGGCGATAAGATATGCAAAACGAATGTGTGTATATTTGACGCACCGGAGGATATGGAGTCCATGAAAAATTACGAGCAAGTCTTCCAGAAATTGATGCGTCGTTACAAATATTTAGAAAAAATGTTTGAGGATGAAATGAAAAAAATATTAATTTTTATTAAGGGTTTTTACGAAGCTGAAAGAGTTAAATTAGCACGGATGACTGCATTATGGCTTGCTAACGGTTCGGTGCCTCCTACAGTTCTTCACGTTCTTATCAATGTAATTTTTTTTTTTTTTTTTTTTAACTATTTAATTAATTATCACATTTATATATATATTTATTTATATAAAATTTTATTGTTTTACAATTAGATTTAAATAGTTATGTGTTATCATTACCTACCTTTTTGTTAAGGTAGGTCAGTCAAGATTGATAACCCAATTTTTAGTCGAAATTTTATTTTTGTTTTGTCTACAAAGGAGGGAGCCATTATTAGGTTTTATGTATTCACTTTCGAACAAAACGCATTATTATTATTATTATTATTGGTATATTCGATTAGTATAAATAAAATTTGATGTAAAAAAAAAAAAGGTTTTGTTATTTTGTACCTAGTGGGTTGTGGCACATAACATAAATTTGTTTTTGTTCTTTTACAGGAGCACTTGGTTAAGGATAATTTGGCATTAGACTTTATAGTAGAAGTTTTTTCTACATACAAACAAGAAAAGGGACTTGCCAATCTCATAACGATGTTAAAAAAAGGTGGACTCGAGGGTCGCATGATGGAATTTATGCCAGCCAACAAGAGAACGGAAGAGAATTTTCGAACCGTTTTCGAAGACAAGGGATTACACGAGCTCGTTAAATTACACAAGGCTCAAGCTAGCCAAGAGGCTAAAAGAGATTTGCAACGACAATTACAAGAAGCTCTCAGTGAAGGGAAACCAATTAAAGAAATCACAACAGATATCAGGGATTTTGCTGCCAAGAATCATATTCCAGAACAAGACGTTGTAGCAATTGTAAGAATAAGATGAACAAAATGTTTTTTAAACTCAATCTTTTATTTTTACTTAAATGTTTTTGATTTCGTTTTGCGTTCCCAGATATGGTCGACGGTAATGGCTCAAGCAGAATGGAATAAAAAAGAGGAGTTAGTAGCCGAGCAAGCTCTTAAACATTTAAAACAGTATACCGTTTTATTTGAGTCATTTACTAATTCGCAACGATCTGAATTGCAATTAATGTTGCGCATACAAGAATTCTGTTATGGAAATATGAATTTTATGAAAGTTTTCCAAAAAATTATCCTTCTCTTTTACAAGAGTGAGTTTCAAATAAATATTATTGATGTATGATATATTTTTGTTTGTTTGTTAATTATAATGTAAAAAATTTGATTTACAGCTGACGTACTGTCTGAGGAGGTCATTATTAAATGGTATAACGAAAGTCATTCTGTAAAAGGAAAAATGTTATTCCTTGATCAAATGAGAAAATTTGTTGAGTGGCTTCAAAATGCAGAGGAAGAGTCCGAATCTGGAGGTGACGATGATTAAACAAACACAAGCAGTAAAAAGTCAGTACTCAAGAGGTAAATTAATTAATTAATTTTTATTTGTTTGTTTGAAATCTCTCTCTCTCTCTCTCTCTCTCTCTCTCTCTCTCTCTCTCTCTCTCTCTCTCTCTCTCTCTCTCTATAAAAAAAATTAATTTGTCGTCTGCTATTTATTCATTTTTTTTTTTTTTTTTTTTCCAGATAAAATTTAAAAATGCAGTTGTTGATGTTTGCAAATGGTTCACGGTTTAGGTCCTCCCGCAATAGGTTTCGGAAAATATTTTTTAATGAAATTAAATTAAAAGTTAATAATGGTTCGGTGTAGGAACAAAATCATAAAGAAAACACACAAAAAAAAAATAAATAAATAAATAAATAAAAAATAAAATAAATAAATAAATAAATAAAAAAAATATTAAAAAAAAAAAAAATTAAAAAAAAAATAATAAAAAAATTAAAAAAAAAGAAAAATATTTTTTAAAAATATAAAAACGAAAAAGAAAAAAATAAATAAATAAATAAATAACTTATGCAAAAACTCAGAAATAAAGAAAGAAAAAATGAAAAATAATAAACAAACAGACAAAAACAAACAAAGAAACAAACGAGAAAGAAAAAAAGTGAAAAGGAAAAGAATCTTTGAGAGATATACAAGTAATGTTATTGTTTTTCACATTTTTTTTTTTTTTTTTTTTTCAACTCATTTTTCACGTGGTTGGGAAAAACAAGAAAAAAGAAAAGGAAAGAAAGGAAGGAAGGAAGGAAGAAAGAAAGAGAAAAGAGATAGAAAGAAAGAAAGAAAGAAAGAAAAAAAAAACATTTTTTTACATATGTCTAATCAAGTATTAAAATAAGTAATTCCTAAGTATTTTGTCCACACATACACACACACACACACATATAATAAATTTTTATTATTATTATTATTATTATTATTATTATTTTCCCAGTTTATTATATAAAAAAAAAAAAAAAAATTGGAAAAAAAAAACTTGATTTTAATGGAAGGATAAATAATTGAAAATATATTGAACAAGAATATTGGAAAAAAAAAAAAAAAATCGATTCATTTCATTCATTTATTATTATTATTATTATTATTATTATTTTAATCAGACCAATAATATTTTTTTTTTGTTTTTTTTTTTCGGAGGTGATAAATATATATAAATAATCAAAAAATAAAAAAAAAAGTTTTTTTTAAATGTTTACAATGTTTTATACAGCCAGTCAATCAATCAATCAATCAATCACGTAACAGTTTGATAAGAGAGTTTATCTATCTATTAATCGAAACGAAGAGAAAAGTTAATAATAATAATAGTGAATAAGAGTGAAAAAATAAAAATAAATAAATATTATTAATATATATATATATATATATATATATTGTCATCTCTGAAGTTCTGGTGCCTTAAATATTTAATGTTAAATAATAATAATAATAATAATGATAATATCAATAGAAGAAAATTTTTTTTTTTAGGTATTAGATTCACGTGACACAATATACCAATAATTTTTTGTACTAGAATCAATTTTAATAAAAAAAAAATGGAAAAAATAATAATAATGAAAAAAACTAGAATGTTTTAATATATCTTTTAAATACCTCGGATGTTTACATATTTTTTATATAATAAAAATCTACACGGATAAATAACTAAACTAAACTAATTAATTACTCATTTATTTATTTATTTATTTATTTCTCTTTTTATTAATTATTATTATTATTATTATTATTAAATGGTAAAAAAAAAAAAAAAAAAAAAAAAAACTTCACTATGAAACGGGGGAATTATTTAATAATTAAACTTTGAATATAAATTATTATATTTATTAATTATTACAACAACAAAACTAATTATTATTATTATTATTATTTTTTAAACAAATTTTCTTTTGCTGTTGCTGTTGTTATTGTCGTGCAAGAGGAAATTCTATAAATATCAAATTTTTTAAAACAAAGGAAAAATTCAATGGTGTTCATATATTTAAACATTTTACACAGTATTTTAATAAATAAATAAAAGTTTACACATTGAATAATAATAATAATGTCATTGACAGAAATAAATGATTATTATGTATTTTATTATTTTATATATATAATGACAATAATAATAATAATAATAAATAAACACACAAATGATATTTATAGAATTTCTCTCTCTCTCTCTCTTTATTTTTTTTTCTCTCTCCCTCTCTCTCTCTCTCACAAAAAATTATTATTTTTAATTATTGTAATTAAATTATAATTTTTTTTTTTTTTTTTTTATTGAGAGGTATCTATCTATTTAAAAAGAAAATTTACATAATAATAATAATAATAATAGTTAAATGCGATTATTATTATTATTATTTTTTTTTTGTATAACTATCTATTATTGGAGTGATGACAATTTAAATAACGGTTTAATATAAAAGTATACTCATGTATTTAATTAATTTTATTTTTTTGTCCTTTTATTAATAATATAACATATAATTTTTATTTATAATTATTATTATTATTTAATAAATAATTATATTATTATTAGAATGTTTTATTAACATTCTTTTTTTTTTTTTTTATTTTTTTTTTTTTTATTGTAAATTGTTTACATTTAAACCAATTTAAAATTTTTTTAATACAAATATGTTTTTGAAACATGTTTAAAAAAACAAATTATTTATAAATAGTAATGTTTTAATAACATAAATAATAATAAATAAATAAAATTTTAATGATAATAATAATGTCGCTCCAAGTTTTCAAATATATGTGTGTGTATATTCAATATAAACGAATATAACGTATTACGATAATTTGAATTTTGGCGCGCGATCGGTTGCTTTTAACAAAAGCAAAAAAAAAATTTCAACCAATCAAATTGATTCAAGTTGAATTTTTTTTTTATTCTATGCGTCATGTACGTGCGCAGACATCACAAGTGTTCAGTTGAAATTTTCTTGTCGATGCGTGTAGTTGGTGCGTCATCATCACCATTATCATTTTTATACAAATTATTTTAAACCAACAAAGTTTTTTTTTTTTTTTTTTTTTCTTTTTCTTTTTCTTTCCAACAACACGTGGTTTTAATTGTTAATGTCACAACAATTAAATCATCATATTTTGTGTATTTTATACAACTCATGTGCTGTTAAGAAATTTTGTATAAAATCAACTTTAGTTCAAACGGTAACGATAATTTTATTTTTTTAAATAAATTATTTAATTTACAAAATAATTTTTTTTTTTTTCGCTTTTATTATTTTTTTTTACTGCTTTTTTAATTTAACGTATTTTTTAAGTTCTTTTTTTAACACGTACTTATAACAAATCGTTTTTCTTTTTTTTTGTGTAATTTCGTGATGACAATCACAATGGTGGTGTAAGTAAAGAAATTATAATGTCGAAACGCATGCATTTTTTTAAAAGTAATTTTCTCTAATGTCGTTAAACGCGAGTTATAATGCAAAATACTCATTGATTACAGTTTTAAAAACGAAATAAAATTTGCTTTTTTTTTTTTTATTGTTTCGTTTCAACTAAAAAAGTTTTAAAAGCTAAAAGCAAAAAAAGTTATGCATAATTTTCGTTTCTTAACTTCACTCTCCCCCCCCTTCCCCTCCCCACCACCTTGTTCTTCGAATTCCCATTTGAAATGAAAAAAAAGAACGTTAACGGTTTTTTTTTTTAGTTAGGTAATGTCGCGCCTTTTTTTTTCTTTTCTGTTACGTCGTGGTTTTAGATTCTTATTCTCTCTCTCTCTCTCTCTCTCTCTCTCTCTCTCTCTCTCTCTTAGCAATCTGATTTGTGAAAGTATGATTTCGCTTCGCAGCGAATATTGTTAATAATAATAATAATAGTAAAAGTATATATTTGTTATATTATTTCGAGATTTATTTTTTGATTTCATTTTTTTAAATATTTACGCGATAAAGAACTTTATCTTCGACATTTTGTTGTTGTCGGTTGTTGTCAGGCTCGTGTATTTGTATTATGAAAAAAAAAAAAAAAAAAAACCATCCATTGTGTGAAAAATGAAATGCTTTCATAAAAATTATTATTATTCCTTTATTATTATCATTATTATTATTATTATTTGTTGAATGGTTTCGTTATTATTATCGTATCAAAAACGTTTTAATTTTCTCTCTCTCTCTCTCACTCACTCACTCACTAACTTTTTGCAAGTTTGAAATCGAATTTTTTTTTTTTTTTTTACGTGTTCGATTCGACCGTTTTAGATAACGGTTGTCGCGTTAGAGTAATAATTTTTTTTTTTTTTTTTCGAACGGTCGATCGTTTTTTTTAAATTTATCGATTTGATTTTTTCGAGACGTATTTGAATATATATATATGTATATTTTGAACGGAATTAAAATCATTGGCGTTTTCATTATGCAAAGTTAGTTATGCAGGAATAAATAACGACGACGACGACAATAATAATAATAATGATGATAACGATGATGAAAAAATGAACGCGATTGATCGATCGATATTTATTCCATTTCCAATAACGTCCATAGTCTGTTTTTTTTTTTTTTTTTAATATATATTGAGTCACGTGTTCGAGATTTTTAAATGTAGCGTCAAACTAAACTCGAGTGAGCCCCATCTAATAAATTGAATTAATTTAATTTTTTTTTTTTTTTTTTTGCATAATCCATAACTTTATTTATTAATGTATTTATTTATTTACATATTTTTTTTTTTTTTTTGAGCCAATAATACGTAACGCGATATTTATTCCCTTTTGGTTCGTCATCGAGAAATCGATTAACGATATAATTCGAGTTCGAGGGGGACAAAAAAATAATTTGGGTTTTATTATTGATTTTCTCTCTCTCTCTCTCTCTCTCTCTCTCTCTCACTATGTGTACCTGGCACGTAAATTTTTTTTTTTTTTTTGCGTAATGAATCTGATTTTATATATATATATTCGAAACGGTGTACGTTGTACAATATGATGAAAATATAATTTTTCGTGGTTTGTCGTTAATTGATAT